TAAAACCCCTACAACCCCTAAAACCCCTAAACCCTTAAAACCCCTAAACCCTTAAAACCCCTAAACTAAACCCTGAAACCTCTTAAACCCCTGGAGCCTCTAAACCCTAAACCCCTGAACCCCTAAGCCTAAAACCCATAAACCGTTAGCAACCCCCAAACCCCGAAAACCCTTAGCAACCCCTAAAACCCCACAAAACCCCTATATACAACCACTGAAGTCCCTAGGCCCTTAGCAACCCCTGTTGGCCGAGTCTCACATAGAGGCGGCAGAGCGCCATGCCTGCGTATTCTCCGACCCAGAAGAACTCCAGACTCTCCTTCCTGGGCTCAGGGTTTTTTTTTTTTGAACGCCTTTTTCGACCTCGCATCTAAGGTTGGGCGAATCCACTTGTGTGGAAGGCTACCGTCGGACCAGGCTTCACGCGTAGTCACCCTTGCACTCCTTCATCTCGGTTGGCTTCATCCGCTTGGGGTTTAGGGTTTAGAAGCCCCAAAAGTTAGAAACCCAACAATCCTTAAGAGTAATGTATAGGGAATCCCAGCATTATTTGGCCTTAGTCCGGTTTCCAACTTTATGGGGTTTACTGTGTAGGGGTTTCTATAGGGGTTCCTTTAAAGGGATCCCTAAGGGTTCTGCAAGGGATCTATACGTTTTAGGGCTTCAGGGTTTCAGGGTTTTTAGGTTTTAGGTGTTTAGGGATTTTGGGGTTTAGGGAAGTAGGGCTTCAGGGTTTCAAGTTTCGGGTCTTTCGGAGTTTTGGGGTTTTAGACTAAAAGGTTCTATCATAGGGTTTAGGGTTTAGGGGCTTCACAGTTTAGACCATAGGATTCTATCATGGGGTTTCGGGTTTAAGGGGTTTAGGATTTGGGGTTTCCCGGTGCTTTAGGGTTTAGGGACTCGGCTTGAGGGTTTAGGGTTTAGGGCTTCAGGGTCTCAGGGTTTCTGTGTTGAGGGGGCCGAAGGTTGGGGCGGGCTAGTTAAGCAATATAGGGCTTTGGAGTATGTTATGCGGCAACTCCAAGAAGGAACCTTGAGAAAAGTATCACTGTGTTATCTTTAGGGGGTTGGAAAGATCTAGCGGGCTCAGGAACGGCTTCGAAGGGTCCAGGATTCAGGTCTTTCAGGGTTTAGGACCTTCGGGAGTGAAGGGTTTAAGTTTAGGGCTTGGGGCTTTTGGGCGAAAGTGCACCTAACTGCAGTGAACCCCAGCAACTAGTGGATGTTAAGTATGCAAGCTACCACGGTCCTTAGTGTCCGGACCCCCAGAAAGTAGGGTTTCGGGTTTAGGCCTAGGGTTTCGGGTTTGTTGGGGGTTTAATGGCTTGGAGGGACTGCTCCCAAACTCCACATGCCTTGGCTTCACGCTTATGCTCCGGCCACTTACTCCCTATATTCAGCACAAGGCTGCATGTGTAAAGATCTACCCCTGCAAGGCCGAAGATCTCTAAACCCCAGGCCCCAAGCTCAACCCTAAACCCCTTACCGTACATCTCAAACCCCTACCCCGAAGCCTAAACCTCAAGCCCTAAACCCCAAACCCTGAACCCCAAACCCCAAACCCCAAGCCCAGCTACCTTCAGCCCTACAAGAAGCAAACTGTAAAAGAGTCCAAGAGTCCTGGCAAGTATCTCGCAATCCGCGGCCCCCACATCCGGGTGGGAGCTGTGAAGCGCTGTCACTTCACAGGTCACCGCCCCATGAATCCTTAGAACCGCCCCTTTGAAGGGAACCCTAAACCAAGTACTAAGGCCCCTACCCTAGACCCTAAAACCCAAGCCCCAAACCCTAAACCCTAAATATTAATCAACAGACTCCCTTAGAACCACAATAAGCACATGATATTTTTAATGAATCGCCTGGAGTTATATTACAATACCATAAAACAACCCAAAATGAACATGATGTTCTTATTAATCGGCTGGAGTTATATTACTTTTAAAAAGCAAAACAGAATTCCTAAGAACCCCTAAACCCTAAACCCTAAGAGCAGTGAAGAATCAGGAGCTGTGGAGGCGGCACGAAAGAATTGCCAGAGCCCGGTGGCACGGCCTCTCAAGCTTCTTACCTTTGGTTTCTAGGGGATGGAAGAATGGTAGCAATAGTAGTTATAATTGTACCCCATTCCGCCATTCCCCACTAACCACAGGAAAGGCTCGTCACCATCCCATCCTACGGTTAAGGGCCTTTAGGGGTTAGGGCTTAGGGGGTTTAGGGTTCAGGGCTCAGATTTAGAAGGGTTTAGGGTTCAGGGCACCGATACGGGAATTTCCTGCGCGAGGCCTTGGGCAGCAAAACCGTCAGCCAAAACTCTGGAATCAAAGTTCTGGAACTCAGTAAACCCTGAACCTGAAGCACTTGTTTTCGAAGTGAAACTCGGAATCTTGGTTTGTGCTTACTTGGACCCCATAGAACCTGCCTGTTTACTGGCATATATCCAAGGAAATCACAGTGAGGAATCCAAACAGGGGCCGGGGTTTTCGGCTACAGCTAGGGTTTGGGGCTTGTGGTAGTGTACCCCAGAGGCCCAAACCCTACACCCACCTAGGCTTTAGCGTGCATAGAACGCTTATGGTAATTGTCCAAAAGCTCCTGTCCCGGCCTCATAGACTTGCGAGTCCACCGGGAAGAGGTCTCCATGAGCACCCGAGGCACACTCGCAGAAGCCCAAAGAGTAGTCCTGAGAGCAGCACTCTGACTTTCGGCCCCCGGATGGCTGACTTCAGAGCTTAGGGCTTAAGGTTAGGGTCTAGGACCCTAAACCCTGAACCTTAAACCACAGGGTTCAGGGTCTAGGGTTTAAGGTGAGGGTTTTAACTTCACAAAGATACTAGTGTCCATCTTTGCAAGCTCCTTGGCTCTATCACTCTTCCGGGTGAGATCTACTTCAAAGCCCCAGGCCTTGGTCTTCCAAGCCACAAACCATTAAGGAAAGTGTGTGGGTTTCGGGTTTAGGGTTGAGGGTTTAGGGACCTCGGAGCCCTGGCGCTGTACTGATGACCCCCCAAAACCCGGAACCCCAAAACCTGCAGTAGCCCTCGGTGCGATGATGCATATGAAGGAGCTGCTGCGACACTTTCGAAAAAAGACATTAAGAAATAAATGAATAAACGTCAAGAAACCTATGCTTATATGTACATGCGCGTGTATATGTGTATAAAATATACATACAGACACATGCTTATCCCGCAGAAGCCTTATCTGAGCGAAGCAGCATCGTGGACATCCGTCGCCAGGTCGTCGAAGCGGAAGACGCGCTTGGCGTCGTCCGGCGTGTCGAACCTGGGATCTTGTGGTAACAGACCAGAGCTTAATCTAAGCTGCCGAGATAAACTACAAGTTAATTTCACGGAACAGAGATCAATTCAAATTACTAGAATGGAACAATATGGGTTTAAAGCAAAGCGAGAACTTAACTTAAGTCACTGTAGCTACCATAGCTACCATAGCCGGGATATACACTAAATAGCACTGGGAAACTGAACTTAAGTTACCCAAGTACCTTATCAGGTATCCTTGGCTTGACACCCTTAAAAACCTCATAATGTCATAACGCCCTTACGAAGCCCTGACAAATGACCTCGTGGAGACCTCAGTATGGTAACTCACCCCTGAAACCTAAACCATCAAACCCTACAACCCTAAACCCTAAACTCAAAATGAGCGCCCTAACTTCAGAACCGAATCCCTGGGAAAACCGCTTAGCAGCCCTTGCAAAACAAGAGCCCGGCAAGAATCATGCGCTTTCCGTATCCATCCATGGTATCCGTATTTTGCTTCAATTGATTCTTAAGTCGCTCCTTGTTGGGGCTTAGGATTTCAGGGTTTTTAGGGTTTCAGGCTTCATGCTTTGGTGCTCAGGGTTTAGGGGCTCAGGGCTCCAGGGGGGGGGGGATTTACGGCTTGGGGGTTTCAGGAATTCAGGATTTAGGATTTAGGGTTTAGGGTTTAGGGTTTAGGGTTTAGGGTTTAGAATTCAGGATTTAGGGTTTTAGAAACCCTGAACCCTAGACCCTGGCATTGAGGGCCACCACATCGAAGCCGGGAACTGCTCAGCAAGTCCTTTGGCGGCCCGGAACTCTGCACGTTCCTGCAGGGACCAGGGAGCCTCAGGCCTGAAACACTGAACCCCGAAACTTCGGGGTTCAGGGTTTAGGGCTTCGGTGCTAGGGTTTAGGAGTTCAGGGTTTAGGATTGAGGGTCTAGGGCTTGGGTGCGAGGGTTTAGAGTGGTTTGGGGTTGGAGGCTCAGGGTTTAGACTTGCTAGATTTTAACACCCTTTCAACCCCCACGGATCCCTCGATGAAGCCATGTGAAATCTTGCGGGATGAGGTGTACCCCAAAACCCTCTTCTATAGGCCCCTATGGACAACTCGAATATACCGAAAACCTTCGGCCCTAGTCTCATTATTTAACCCCCATCATAAACGCCTAAACCCCAAAACCCGAAACCCAAAAACCCTAGAACCCGTTGAACAGAACGAGAAAAACGGCGTTTGTGCTTAGCTCCTGGAGTGGCGACTTGCATTCGAAGACCCAGGGCTGCACTGTCACCTTAGGGCTTAGGGTTTGGGGTTTAAGGCTTAGGGTTTAGGGTTTAGGGCTTAGGGTTGAAGGCTTAGGGCTTAGGGTTTAGGGTTTAGGGTTCGGGGCTTAGGGTTTAAGGCTTCGGGTTTAGGGTTTAGGCATGTGCTTTTTGAATGGTTACGGCTTAGAGCTGAAGGTTCAGGGTACATAGAGCGCTTTTCGGTGGTGGTCTAGTGTTTCTACTCTGCGTTGCTACCTCTTGTGTGCATACGGTTTTCTTGATGCTTCTTGTCTTGATGCGTTTCTTCTTCTTGAATGGGAGGGTTTAGGGGCTTTAGGCTTCAGTTTGGGGCTGAGGACTGTAAGGTGATAGGGTCTCGGGTTGAGGGTCCTTTTGCTATTCTTCCCGATGGACATCCATCAGCTCCGGGGCTTCGTCTAGAGTTAGCCGTCTTTGCGAGATCTATGTGAATCTATCTAAAGGCTTTGAGGCATGGAAAACCACAAAACCTTCTCAAGTCAACCACCGTCACTGTCGCATTGGCGCCGTCGACGGACTGGCCGCTCACCGCCCCGTCTCCATCGAAGGCCTGCCGAAGGATGCGACCAAAATCCGAGGGACCCGGGGCTTCCAGCGGAAAATCGAGTTCCGTGGGGTTTGGGAGTCAGGAAACATCTGGCCGTCTCGAAAGGCATATCTTAAGTATGCTCCTCACGAATAGGGCTGTCGTGACAGCCACCGATGAGGCACGCGACCCATCAGATAAGGCAGGGGCCTTCACTGTCAGAATAGAGTCTGGTGGTGCACTACTACAGTACGCATACTACGGTATAGTAATGTAGGTCGTAGTCGTCGGCCTCAAAGAGCACGTCCCCCGAGAAGCACCAGAGCTTCTCGCCGCGCAGCTCCACGCTAGGCCTTGGCACACAGAATCAAAGGTTTACCGTTTTGGGCTCAGGGTTTGGAGTTGAGTAGAACCCGGAAGGAGCCCTAAGACCCCCGATTAAAACCTCAAAAGAACGAACAAAAGGAGAAACCTCCTTAGGTGTCTCCTGTAAAGGAGCCCGCCATTTCCGTAACCCTGAAGAAACCCTACGAACCCCAAAGACCCTGAAGCGACAGGGCATGTTTTGCTTACTAGCCTCGGGGGTTAAGCTTCGACATCAGTCGCTGACCTTGAATGCTGGAACTTGAACCCGGCGAATACCCAAAAAAAGCTAAAGCCCTAAACCAGTACGAAACCCCCTTAATCGAACGCGCAGGGCACAGGTTGTCTGTTGCCCGTCAGCACCGACTGTACTAAACCCCTAAACCCATAAACACCCCCAAACCGTAAGCCTGTAACCCCTGCACCCTATACCCCTAACCACCCCTGAACACAAAAACTGAAGAAAACCTACGCACTTGAACCCGACAACCCCGCTGTTTGAGGCACGGGCCTTCCTTCCAGGTCTTGGCCAAGGTAGTCATCGTCGGACGCCCGGCGGATTACGAACCTTGGCTGCACTCACTGCGGTTTAGGATGCAGCTGTGCTTTAAGGAGTTTAGGCTGAGGAGTTACGCCTTCAAGGCTCTTTGGCCTAGAGGTTAGAGTGTAGGGTTGAGGGCTTCGGGTTTGGTTAAAGCCTTTACACTCTCGGGCATGAGAGTGCAGAGCTTACGCTCCAGGGCTTTCAGCGTGTGGGAGCTGCTGGTGTTGAGGAATGAGGAGCTGAATGCTTACACGCGAGTCTCTAGGATTACGGTTTAAGGCTCCTTTTTTTAAGCGCCTTTTTCCTCTCGGTTCGCTGGCTTAGGGCTTGGGGTTTTGGGGTTCCAGGCTCAGGGCTCCGCCTTGAAGCTTTAGCGACTTTTTGGGGGTCTAGGGCCGGGTTCAGGGCTTAGGGTTGCGAGGCGCGAGGTCTCTTGTGGGGCTTGGGTGCGGTTTTTCAGGATTCACTGGGCTTTCAAGGGTTTAGTGTAAAAGGGTTGAAGGTTGATGGTTTAGGGGTTTTTTTTGGTACACTTCTCGATTTGTGGTTTAGGGTTTACGCTTTAGGAATTTAGGGTAGAAGGGTCGAGGGGTTAGGGATCATTCTGCAATCATCAATTCCTAGGTCTGCCAAACCCTCGGCTTCAATAGAGCAGTTCGTAGCCCCGCTTTAGGGTTTAGGGTTTAGGGTTCTATACTAACAATACGGAGCCTGAAGGAATAGTATGGCAATCGGTCACACCCGTTATTATATAATGACACGACAGGCGATGTCTCCCCCAAAAGCTCCAAACCCGAAAACCTTAAAACCCCTAAAACCCCTAAGCCCCCTAAACCCCCACAGCCCGAAACCGAAAACAAAGATACGCTCAAACACGCTCACTCCCTCAAGCTGAAAACTCCAAACCCCACAACCCCGAAACCCCAAAGCAGCCTAAACTCCTGAAAACTCTGCTCTCAAATCCATCGAACCCTACAAAAGCCAACGAAAACGTAACGCCTGAACCGCCCCTCCCCCTCCGCCCCTCCCGCCGCTCTAAAGGAAGGACAAGGAGCCGATCGCCTTTGCCACATCCGGCTGCCACCTGGGAGTTTTCGAAAACAGGGGCCCCTAATCTCACTGGTCCAAAACCCAAGGAAATAGAAGTTGAAACTTTCGGAATCGACTACCTTATAAGAACCCCAAAAGTTGAAAAGTTGAGTCTACAGCCAATAAGTAATACAGAACCGTAAATTAGTAGGATCCATATTGAAAGGACCCCAAAATAACGTACCCCTAGTTTTCGGAAACTCCAAACCCTTATAAACCCCGTCAGTAGGACCCTCATAGTACCCCGTATAGTAACCCTTTAAAGGAACCCTAAGGTACCCCCTAGTTTTCGGAAACTCCCACCTCCACGTTCTCTTCAGACCAGTGCCTCGGCGTCCGTAGCTTGGCGTCGTTTTTGGCTCCAAGCGACAAAAGGAAAATGTTCTAGGGTTTAGGGGTTTAGGGGCTTAGGGTTAGGGGCTTAGGGTTTAGGGTTTAGGGGCTTAGGGTTTTGGGTTTGGGGGCTTAGGGTTTAGGGTTTAGGGGCTTAGGGTTTAGGGTTTAGGGGCTTTGGGTTTAGGGGCTTAGGGTTCAGGGTTTAGGGGCTTAGGGTTTAGGGTTTAAGGTTTAAGGTAACGACTAGTACAAGAAATCTGGTCAGTTCTTTGCTCAGCTATACTAATGAAGAACGAAAGCAAGAAGAAGCACACTCAGAACGAGCTTCATCATGACAACAGCAATCACAAGAAGAACAATAGTAATGCACCCTGCGTAGCTCGCAACTGCCAAGAAAACCGTAAAGCGTGCGAGATGCAAGTAGAGGGTTGAAGAGCTGTCAAAGCCCTTCATGCTGTAGACGGGCCTGCAGTGGCAAAAAAACAACCTAGACGGCTTCCAGAAGCTCTTTAGGTTCATACGAGTTTTTTGTCTGAACGCTTTTTTCCCTCCGCTAGTGCAGCTGCATCTAACTTCATGAAATCCGTTTAGGGTTCATGCCTGCGAAGCAGCGCAAGACAGTATGTGCAACAATTCGGGCTTCTACCCTGAACCCTGGAACACTGCAAAACACAGCAGCCTTAACCATTAGAATATGATCTTTGGCAAACCTTGTACCATGATTATAACAGGTCCCAAAGAAGATACCATGAGCAACTATCCACAACAATGATTGCAACACTTGGGTAGTCCTCTAAATTAGGATCCCTCTTTCGGTCCCCCAAATAGTACGGCACCCGTAGAAGAAGGACCCTAACAGGGACCCTTAATGTAGAGAACTACCCACTTCAGCTCTGTGGGCTTCTAGCCGCCTGGGGTCCTGCGATGCGACGGGGCAGTACTGCCCCGACATGAAGGCCTCGCCAGGCACCTGCACAAGCCTGGGCAGAGCTCTTCGAACTTCAAGGTTTTTGGAGCTTGCATTGAAGGCTTCAGTTTTGGGGGTTCAGGGCTTACGGCTCGGGGTGTAGAATTGGGGCTTTGTTTTGCGGCACAGACTGGGGTTTTGTAGGCTCTGGAGAACAAACGGCAGAACGCCGAACTATGATGATGAACAGCAACCACGTGGCAAGCACTGGTTCAGAGGGTCGCAATCGGTGACTTTCTGGTGGACCCAGGAAAAATTCTTCCCGGACTGGATCTCACTGGCATAGACAACCTTGTGGCAGTTCCCCTGCTCATCCAGACCAATGGCCTTGGGTAGCAACTGGAGGGTTTACGGTCTATAGGGTTTAGGGTTTAGGAGTTATAGGGTTTAGGGTTTAGAGGGTTTAGGGTTTAGGAACTATAGGGTTTAGGGTGTATAGGGTTTAGGGTTTATAGGTTTAGGGTCTATAGGGTTTAGGGTCTATAGGCGACATCGTTTATGGCCAATGAGAGAATATGTAGGGGTGATTGTCAATTTTAGGGCCCTTGCTGGGTCCCCATTTTCATGCGGAACCTAATACTTAGGGCACCCAAAAAGGTATCATAATTTTGACCACCACCCATATGTAGGAGCCTTAAAAACGGGGGCTACAAGGGCACGTTGCTGTCAATTCTTCGGACTCCTACAGCACCTCTACCATTGGAAAGTAAGAAAACTGTCCCAATTTGCAACCTGGTGGCAGCACATGCGGCGTCGTTCCGACATCTGGAGCGGCAAGTCGAGATGGTCTTCCTGGGTTGTATTTAAAGGGTTTAGGCTAGGGTTTAGGGTAGGTCTCTCGACTCTACCAGACTAAGCCCTAAACCATAAGCCCCAAACAACTTCAAACCCGAAACTTGTGAACCTCTAAGGGACACTCTAGACAAGAACCCACCTTGAAAGGAACCCTAAGCAAAACGACACCAAGGCTCGAGGCATTCGAGGAAAAGTTGGCTAAGAGGGCCTTGGCCAGGAAATGCTCCGGGTCGCTGGCTGGTGTCCAACAGGTGTTGTCCGTCACAGTGACCTTCAACTTCAACAGTTTTAGGGTTTAGGTTCTTGCTCAGAAGTTCAAATCAAGTTTCCGTCCCAACAATATTTACTATAGATATATCCCTTTTATGGTAACTTAAATAAATTCCTGAAGCAGAACCCATTTAAGCGCACATGGGCCTGGGAGTTCGTCCAGAGTTAGCTCTTACTGGGTTCAGGGTCATGCACTTCGAGCTTCGGGGTTTGGGGTTTGGGTTTAGGGCGTACAGTCTACGGGCGATGTAGAAAAACCAGGTTTTTGAGGCAGTTTTTGGTTCAGGCCTACGTAGCCCTCACCTTAAACTCCATCCATAAACACCTACAAGTACAGGCCTCCTCAATCCCCTAGAAAACCCCTTCTAAGGTTCAGGGTTTAGGGTTTAGGGGTTTAGGGTTTAGGGGTTAGGGTTTAGGGTTGGGGGGTGTCGGGGTTTGGGTTTAGGGTTTAGGGGTTTAGGGTTTAGGTTTATCCCCCCCAAAAGGGCTCGTTTTGAGACGCCCCGTGCCTTGAACTGAGCCATGAGCAGCGCTTTGCCTGGGTTCGGAATTTGGGGGGAACTATGTGGGGGTTTCCGAACACAGGGGCCCCTGATATAGTACCCTAGATACTGTTGTATTCCTTATTATGGGTAATGCAGGATTTATATCATCAACCGTAGTAGGATCCTTATTGTAAGGACCCCCAAATACGGTACCCCTAATTTTCGGAAGTTCCTATGTATAGAAACCTGAGAGGAATCCTAACTTTGTGAGTGCCGTAAACTCTCCTTAGACTCTAAACCCTAAACCCCTAAACCCCAAACCCTAAACTAACCTCCTTCTCCCTAGAACCTACAACCAAGGCCCCTAAACAAGAGCCCAGTTGCTGAAGGGCAGCACGCCGTAGACCTTGCAGCTGAGCTTCAGCTGGCAGCGTCTCGCCTCATCCCTGCAGCCTTGGAGTAGTCCCTCTTGCGGCCTTGGTGGGAGGAAGAAGGGGTAATGTAGGGGCCTTAAAAATTAGAACAGGGTTTTGGACGGTTTTGGATTTTCTGATACTTGAACTAGTAGAATAAGGAACCCCAGAACCCCGTCTAATTATTAAGGTCCCTACATTACCGAAGGTTCAGGGTTTAGGGGTACCGACAGTCTTGGGTTCGCGTTGTGTTCATGGCTCCCCCAGTTAAGGCCAACATCTTTCGGTCGGTGGCCTAAGTTAGGATCCCTTGTAGGGTCCTTCTTATGCGGGTGCCGTGGTATTTTGGGGTCCCACAAAGGGGACCTCCGGTTGCAGAGAACTTCCTGTATGGTACTCTTATAGAAACTTGATAGAAACCTTTGTAGATCCCTTTGACAAACCCCTAAACCCTCAACCCTAAACCCTAATTTGAGGGACCCTAGACAGGAACTCCTTTCTTTACATGATCCCTGGAGAGCTCTAAGCTTGCGGCTCCCCAGCAAACTTCCCGCCCACAGCCAGGTGGAAGACCTCCTGGAGTTCAGGGTTTGGGAGTTAAAGGCTCAAAACGATTTAGGGCTTGGGGCGTGGGGCGTCGAGGTTAAGGGGGCTTAGGCTTAGGTTGTAGGCACAACTGGGGTCAAAGATGGTTCTTAATAGGTAGAAAAGGTCTACTAATCACACCCCTACAACATGTTGAAAGACCCCGCATCTTCTCCTAATACAGGGCCGTAAACTATAATTGCAATAGGGAACCCCCAAAATAGAATAGGTAATTATGAAGGCCCTTCTATCATACCCCAAACCCTAAACCCGCTCCTGGCCCTTGAATGACAAAGCCCCCGTCTGAGCCACGAAGCTGGTGTTGGGCCCACAGTCCTGCAGAACTTTTTGCTGGTGCGGAAATTAGGGTTCAGGGTTTTGGGTTTAGGGGGGTTTAGGGTTGAGGGATGCATCTCTTGTGGTTGCCCTTGGCATTGCATTGCCTTTTGGAGGACCCCTCAACGGAGCACTTAGAAGGCCAGGAAACCTTTCTTGAAACCCTGCAGAACCCTGAAAAGAAGCCTTATTGTTCCCTTTAATGGACCTTTGAACCCATAAAAAACCCTAAGCCCTAAACCCACAGCCCAAAAACCCCAAACTCTTCAACCCAAAACCCTAAATAGACCGTTAAACCCTAAAGCCTAGGCTTGAAAAACCCTGATGGCCCCAAACCCTTAAAACCCAAAGCCCTATACACCCTAAAGCCCAAAAGCAACCGCGGTCCACGTGGTAGGCCAAAGGCGGATCGACCAAGGCCGAATCTTCCGCGCTCAGCGCGCTCGCTAGGCGGAAGCCACTCGTGGGGCGGCCCATCGTCAGGTTCACCTGGGCTCTTGGATTTAGGGTTCCTTTAAAGGGATCTATAAGGGATCCTTAGGGGTTCCTTTAAGGGATCTACAGGGGTTTAGGGGTTTAGGGTTTAGGGTTTAGGGTTTAGGGTTTAGGGTTTCGGTTTCGGGTTTAGCGGTTTAGGGTTTTGGGTTTTGGGTTTAGTGTGTTGGGGTTTTGGGTTTACCGGTTCGAGGTTTGTCGGATTTAGTTTAGGGTTTTTGTAAGGTTTAGTAAATGCCGGGTCCTTAATCCAATTAGAACAGGGCTGCGGGAGATATCGTAGTCTGATACTAGTCTAGTTTACCTGACCTCCTGGAAACTTTAGGACACCATCACAGCAATATTGGCTTTATGAGGCTTGTGCGTTGCTCTGAAATTTTTGTGGGCTTAAGTTTAAGAGGATACCATATTTGATGTACTATTTGGCATGCACCCCCAGTATCGCAAACGGAAGTAAACTCGTTGTATCAAGGATCCTAAACCCTGAACCCTTTCAACCCTCTATCCTATAAACCCTAAACCCTATAAACACTAAACATAAATCCCGAAAAACCCTGAACAGTTGCCACCCTCATCCCTGTTAACCCTAAACTGTTTAAACCCAAACCCGAAAACGACCCAGTTGCTTCATCCACGCGAAGCCAACGTCGGTCTTCCCGCACCACGAAGAGCTCGGAAGCCTCGTTGCCGGCCACCAGGACGACATCCGTGGAACGCGTTACCTCCGTGCAGTTGCCTGAGCTCTTCTTTGAGATTTCTTTTGAAGATCGTGAGCCTTGCTCCTTCTCAAAAATGAACCACACAAAACAACACCTAAACCAAAACTTATCTTCAAGAGCGGCCAAGCTTCCAGAGGCCTCATCCATACAGCCTTTGGCGCTCACCTTGGGCATGTTCAGGGCAGATGTCGGGACAGTTGATGCGTGTGGACAGAGCATGCTCTTGAACTGTTGTGCGTGTGTATGTGTATGCGTATGTATATAGAGTGTATGTATGTATGCATGTATGTATGTATGTATGCTTGTATGCTTGTATGCTTGTATGCTTGTATGTGTATGTGTATATATATATATATATATATATCAACAGATACATAGGTAGATAGCTACATAGACCGCAAGATAAACAGATAGATAGGTCTGCATATGTGTTTGTATGTGTACATATAGTATGATATAATATAAGGTTATATGATATGATATAATATAATATAATATAATATGATATAATATGATATAATATAATATAATATAATATAATATAATATAATATAATATAATATAATATAATATAATATAATATAATATATAGAGAGAGAGAGATGCATGTAACGGAAGACGTTCAACACCTGGGACAACACCTGTGGACTTCAAGCCTGCTCTTGGAGTCGTCAACCTTCTCCAACGAGCTCAAGGTCTACGGGTTTGGGTGTCTAAGAAACTCTATACTGAACTTAGACCCCTAGCAAAATGCTAAATTTAGCTGTTCCTTGGGATTTTAGGAACCGGGGATTAAAAAAAATGATGGCCGAGATGAGGAGCGGTACATTCACCGGTTCTTGGCGTCGGGTTGGAGCTCGTCTGAGAGATGCGGCCGGTGGCCTCACGGGGTTTAGGGTTCAGGGTTTTTGGAATTTAGGGTTTGGGGTTTTAGGGTTTACGGTTTAGGGGTTTAAGTCAAAGCTTAGGGGGGGCTAAAGGTGTGGAGTTTAGTTGTGCAGGTGTGCAAGTGATACAAGCATTCAGCGATTGGAGTTCCTGGGTGGGAAACCGTACACTCTGACCCCTGAACCCTGCAGCTCTCCTAAAGCCATAAACCCAAAACAACCCTCAACCTACTGTAAGGTCCCAAAAACTTAAAAAACCTAAACCCCTGCGGCCCGAAAGCCTAGCCCCTAAAACCCTGAAGCCTTGAAAACCCACTCTCTGAACCCCCCCCCCCCCCCCCGAAAGCCCCCAGACCCTAAACCCCTAAGGCCCTAAAACCCTGAAACTGCAAACACCTGAACCCTAAAGCCCTAAAGCTCTCAGCTCCAAGGCCACCCACAGCCCCAAAATCCGGAACCCTTAAATCCCTAGGCACTAAACCCTGTTCTCAAAGCCCCAAACCCCTAGAGTCCTAAAGCCCTCAAACCTGAACCCCTGGAACCCTCAACCCCTAAACTTTAAACCCAAAGCCCTAAAGCGCGTAAGCCCTGCACTCCAAACCCAAAGAACCTCATGCCCTGAACCTCTAAAAGCCCTCAAGCCCTAAACCCTTCATACATCCTGAACCTTTAGAGCCCTCGCACCCTGAGCCCCACAAACCCTCAAACCCTGAACCTTGAAACCCAAAGAAAAGCCCTTAACTCCAAAGCCTGCAACAGTCAGTGGGGGCAGTACCCAATGAAAAACTGAAAGCCGCAAACTCTGAACCCATGTCCTCCTAAAATCTCCAAAAGCCTGAACCCCGAATACCTTTAAGCGGCTCAAGCCGCAAGCTCTAAACCCCGAAACCTTCCTTAAACCCTAAAACCCAGAAACCCTCAAATCCTGCTTACAAACGCTGAACGATACACCGTTAGGTTTGGGGGTTAAGCTTTAGCGGTTTAGGCTTTCGGGGTTGAGGGTTTAGGGCTTTGCACGTGGATCAGGCACTGTGAAACAGATGCGGTCTCACTGGTGTGGAGAAACCCGGCCCTTAACCCTAAACCTAAAGTCAAAACCCTTAGCCCTGAACCGTGGTGTATCATAAAGCACGACTCCATGCGACTTAAGTGAAAACTTTGGCTATTATTCCTAAAACCTTCACGGAACCCTACACAGTAATTACTCAAAGCAAACCTCAAAACCTTTAACCCTTAACCCCTGAACCCGAAACCCCTGAACACTGCAACCCTTAAACCCAACCCCTACAAAATAATAAACCCCCAACATGTAAACCCTGAACCCCAGAACCCAACACCCTAAACCCCTAAACACCCTAAACCTTTTTCTCGAACGCGCAGGGCACAGTGGTCTGTTGCCCGTCAGCACCGACTGACCCTAAACCTTAAACCCCTAAACCCTTAAAACCCCACACCACTAAACCACTAAAACCCTCAACCCCTAAAACCCGGATAGTCCTAAACCCCTAAACCCTTAAACCCCTCAACCCCTAAACCCCTGAAACCCTTCAACCCCTAAACCCCTCAACCCCTCGACCCCTAAAAACCAAAAACTCCTATACCCCTAAACCCTTAACCCTGAAACCCCTCAACCCCTAAACCCCTAAACCCCTTTAACCCCTCAACCCCTTAAATGCCTGAACCCCCTAAACCCCCTAAACCCCTATACCCCTCAACCCCCTCCTGTAGCCGCAAAGACCTACCGTTTCAAGGAACCATATACAGAAATCATAGTAAGGAACCCTAAAAAGGTAGGTCTTTTCGGCTACAGGCTCAACCCCTTCCGCCTAAAACGCCTCAACCCCAAACTAAAAAACCTAAAACGCCTCAACCCCTAAAACCACTCAACCCCTACGCCTTGTCTATGCGAGCCCAGGGCAGATCCGGCGTGCAGCGCAGCTGGAAATCCTTGTAGCGGCCTTGAAAGCCTCAGCGCTCCGGTTGGGCTCCTTTTGGGCTTTGGGGTTTACCTGGAGCCTAAAAAACCTAGCTTTTTAAGGACTTGTATGAAGAAATCATAATAGGGAACCCTAGAAAGGTAGGTTCTTTAGGCTCCAGGTAGGGTTTAGGGCTTATATAACGTTTAGGGTGTAGGGTTTAGGGTGGGTTTAGGGGTTTAAGGGTTTAGGGCTTTAGGGGTTTAGGGTTTTAGGGCTTAGGGATTTAGGGGTTTAGGATTTTAGGGGTTTAGGGGGTTTGGGGGGTTTAGGGCTTAGGCGTTCCAATAGAGCTGCCTTTAAGGGGGTAGCAAAAGGGTAGTTGCAGGTTTTCGTTCAAGGGATCGACCGGGGTACAAAAAAGGGCCTTCTTACCAGGCTTCTGTAGGGGTTTTGGGCTCTGGGCTCTGGGTTTTGCGTCTGGGTTGCGATCTTTGGTTTTGGGGGTCTTGGAGTTTCGGTTCAGAGTTGGGCTCGGCCTTCAGTGCTTTAGGTTTCCCCCGGAGTTTACCCTGAACCCGAGCCCCAAACCCCAAATCCGAACCCTGAAACCCCTAGCCCAATGCCCTAAAGCCTAAACCCTAAAACCCTGAAGCCCTGCAACCCTAAATCGAAACGCACTGATTGAGGGCTTATACATCTTAGGAGCGAACCGTTTATTCCCGGTGCAGCGGATTCGAATTCCGAAGACCCGGATGTGGACATGCAAAGACATACAGCAACGGCTATCACCATTGTTATCATGCTACATTCTGAACATGAATATGATTATGATTATGACCATGACTGTGCAGAGTAGTATCACGTGCGCTTCTCTACTGACAGAACTGTCGTGGCCTCACTTCGCTGAGGAACCTGGAAGGAAGCTCTGGTTCAGCGCGGTGAAGGTCAAGACGCTTTGCGAATATGCGAAGTGGGCGATGTGAACCTCTCTTCTTCAATAACCGGACCCCAAAACGTTATCAGTTTCTACATTGGACCACACACACACATATATATATATATATATACATATATACACATATATATATACACACATGTAAACACATGCATATATGGATATCTGAAGCCAAAAGGTTTTTAGTTTTTCCATTGGCTATCTAAGGAACTTGTAAAGTTGCAGAAGTGCCTGCCCACTTGCGGCTGTCGCTGGCGATCTCGCACGAGATGGACTGGGGCTCGTGGGTGGAAATCTCCCCAAAAACGCGCCCACTGCGACTATCCATGGTCAAATTCATGCTGTGGAACGCGCAGTTCTCCGTGACATAGGTGACATCCAGCCTTGGGATGGGGAGCGCAGACACCTCAGTGCTCCGTTTCCCTAAATGCAAGGTATCTCTAGACGCCATACTACGTACCCCTATAGCGAAGAAGAGTGCTGAGGCTAGGACTGCTGTCTTCCCGCACGGGATGTGCACTGCAGGATAACTGAAAGGCACTTCCTGGCGACTGCCCCCGCCACCTGGCTTCTTGTCAAAGAAGTGAACTTTAGTAAGTTGCCATGACAACGACTTGCTGCATAGGGCTTTCAATAGGCTATATAGGGAATGTAATTACACCGTGCCAAAGAACATGTTTTGAGTTACCACAAAAGAGAATTCATAGAATACTCTGCATAATCACAGATACACGTATTTGTATAGATATATGTATATATATATATATATGTGTATAGTTCTGTAACAGAAGCCCAGCCACAGGCACAGCAGGCCTCACTGGCGGACATTCCGCTGTGCACACGCTCGGCGTCCACCAAATGGTCAGCTCTGTTGTTCGCCTTGATCTGCCCCGCTGCGCAAGAGTTGCCATCCACGTAATCTTGACATCCGAAGCCCCATGAGTCTTGCCAGGGGATGTCACTACAGAGCTTACATGTTGTCTGGTTGCCATCCTTGGCAACGTACGGAGTGAAGCCGGATGCACATGAAGAGCATGAGTCCATGGCAGCATCATACTCGACACAGCCAGCACAAGCAAGACTTACGGCAGGGCAGCATTGTTGGTAAACTTTGCCCTCACGGAAGTTGTTCAATAGCATTTCGTGCTTGGAGCACTCCAATGGCATATCACTTGCGGTGGCACCACGCATGTACTGAATCGTCGAAGTAAGCTTCACCGCTCCAGCTTGTGTAGTTTCTAAGAGCATCGTGTCTGGTTTGCACTCCTTCTGTTCCTTGGCGAAACATTTGCGCACACCAGGGAAAAGTCAAAGACCCTAAACCCTAAACCCTAAGCTCACAAACCCCAAATGGCTCTTTGCATCTTTGCAGGCGAAAGTCCAGACCCGGCAGCGTCCGCAACGCCCACCAGGGAAGAGAAAAGTTTGCCACAGCTGGCAAAGGGGAAGGCGCTTGATCCTCACAGCAGATCTAGAATGTGGATGCTAAACCCTAAAACCCAAGACCTAAACAATCCTGAAACCTCAAACCCAAATCCGAAACTGGTAGGGGTCTCATTCGCTACCCCGGAGGAAGACGCTTGACTGCTGCACAGACGGCGCAGGGTTTAGGGGCCTACCTGCAGGTGCATAGGTAATTATAAATTATAAATGGGTTATCCGTGGGGGAACTATAATTATAACCCATACTAGGGGACTTATAACCTCACTTATAACTACCCATGAACCTCCAAGAAGGGGCTTTACAGTTTAGTGTTCGAGGTGTGGATTTGGGCCAAAACCTGTCATGTTCTGGCCAGAAACCACAAACTGCCAAAATCCTTCCCAAGCCAACCTCCGTCCATTTTCGGCTGGGGCTTAGGGTTTAGAGGGGGTTTAGCGTTTAGGGCTACAGGTTTTCAGATTTCGGACTTGGCATTTGGTGTTGTAGGGCTTCGGGTTTGGGGCCCGCCGTCAGTCTGCTTAAGAGCTGTCCTAAGCCAAGGAAATGTCTGGAAAACCTAAACCCCAAAACTCTTAGATGCTTTGGCGAAAAGCTCAATCCTGCAACGAAACTCAGAATCACATGAGTGATCGTCCCCCCTTGTTGCCCCAACTAAGGAAAGACCCAAAATCCAATTCTAATTGTGAAGGCCGGGATAGCAAAGCTTTTTCGCAACCCTCATAGATACTGGTGAGCCTGATAAACCCTAGACCCTAACCCTAAACGGAACCCTTAAAGGATCCCCGTTACTACAAAGGGTTGGATATTGAAACCCTACTAAAACCCCGTATTATAGAACCCTCATGCACCGCGTGTACGAGCCCTGGAAAACCCTAAACACTCCGCCCTTTGAAGAGACCTTATGCTAATGATTAAGGCCGCTTTGGATATACCCCGTTGAAGAACCCTTTAAACCCCTAAACACTAAACCATATAAAGAGACTCCAAGCTATTGATTTGGCCCCCTTTTGGGTAGGTCCTCAGTCACGGGAAGCAAGCCGCCGATTCGCACACGCTGCAGCAAGTTGGAGCCTACCAGAGTGGTGCGCGTTTAGGGCTTACGGCTTTAGAGTTTCAGGCGTTGGGATTTATTCGGGCTTCGGGGTTCAAGGTTTAGGCCTTGGGGCTTAAGAGTTCAGGGTCTTAGGGTATTGAGGTCTTGAAAGGTTTTGGGGTTCAGGGCTTGTTTTGCCTTCAGATGTGTGCGCTTTGGGGTTCTGGGCGTAGAAAAAGGGTTTGGGATGTGGGGCTTTCGGGTAAACATGGGTAAACCCTAAACTAGGTGGGGCTTTTAAAGCCTTTGAAAAAGATTAGTAAACAAGATCCTCTTAAGCCCAATAAGGGAAAATAAAAATGTCCCAAAGCCCTATCTAGTAAACCCCCAGGCTTCAGTTGGGGTTTCGAAGCTCCGAGACCTCAGGGCCTTTTGGCAAAGGCGGCCGGGAGCTCGCTGGTAGGTTAGGGTTTACGGGCTTTAGGGTTTAGGGCTTAGGTTTAGGGGGCTTGGGGGGTTTAGGGGTTTAGGGCTAGAGGGGGTTTGGGTTAGGAAAAGCTGAGTGAGAAGCCGCTGCGGGACAATCCCCGCCTTGTGCTGGACAAGCTTCTGAAGCCGTTGCGGCTTCCCAGCCAAGCCAGGTCAGCAGACCCCATAACGGTAAGTACCTTACGGTTTAAGGTTTAGGGTCTAGGGGGTTAAGCCTTGACTATAGAGTGTTCTGTCTGCGTCGGCTAGGGACGAGATATGGCAGGCAAAGCGCCAGCAATCTGATCAATCGCGTCATGGGATTCACGGTTCCGAGCTGCGCATATAGGCTAACACTTGGAGTTTACCAGTTGGGAAAACCCTAAACCCTAAGCCATCTAATCCAAGCCCCATGAACCCGTTCAGCCAGATCCAACGAAACCAGAGGTTAGCGTTTGACACTGAGGGGTTTGGGCTAAAGAGGGCCATGCCCAAGATCTCTTGGGGGCTGTGGTTTAGAATTTGAGGGCTTGAGGTTTAAGGCTTTAGGGTTAAGGGAAGTTCCGGGCGTGGGGTTTAGGGCAGTTTAGGGCTTCACAGTTAGGGGTCTGGTATCCCGCACATCAAGATTATGCCCTTGCCAAAGCATATCGGAAACCGAACCGAGCTCGCCAAAAACGCACGTCGTAGATGCGGAAGGCAAATCCCGAACGTCGACATCCGGAAGCCTCGGCTCGTACGACACTGAGCATCTCTATGGTTATGAGAATTTCTTTGGACTCTGACACTTCCGTCTTCATAGTTTTTAACATTGGAACCCACAGGTGCACACACACTCAAACACTTCCAGACAAGTTTTCGCACTCGTCACGATCGCGCTGCAAACGTTCAAGCACGCATGATTCTGTGCAACCCAGCGACAATAATGCAAGAAGCAGCAAAGATATCCGCAACATCCGTGCTTGGGCCAAAATTCATCGGACAAGCAATCTCGAGGTTCATGATGCTTTGCCATGCTCGTAGAGAGCGATGGCTTTTCTGCCAACACTCATTGCATGTGGCATATTGCACATCACGAGGCACCTGGAGCAATCCTGAGTCGATGGTTATTCGGGCCAAGGGTTTCCGGTGTGCACTTGGTCGACCCATCAGCTTCACAAAATCTCAGAAAGGCGCTTCAGGGACAGTCACTCAAAAGCGCACAGCTGCACAGAGCAAAACTCCATCGCGCTGCACTTTTTCGAGAGGCGATCAGAATCTCAGAATCACGGAGCCTGACCGAACTGTGCAACGGCGGAGCAAGCCGTCGCTGAAAGTGACAAGCACGCCTCGATCTCTGGCTCGCTACCCGTGATTTTGGAGTTAGCCAGCCCGAGCACCACCATCCTCTGACTTGTATACATGACATAGATGTATACACACACACATATATATATATATGTATATAAGTATATGTATATATACACGCACTGTATTGCATGTCGGGTATGAAAAGACGGTGCCTAAGGCATCTAGACAACTAAAAGAAATCAGTCTCCGAGCGATCTGCATGGCTCTCCCCATGCTGGGCAGGGCGCCGGCGGACCTATGCTGCACACCAGTGCTGCCTAGCCCATGGGGCCGGAAAACGTCCTCTTGGGCCCTTAGAGGAACCCTCGTGTAGTACCCATGTAGTACCCCTTTAAGCCCTATTTTAGGACCTTATAAGTACCCCTTTTAAGGGCTCCTGTAAGGCGTCCTTTCTTCGGGGGCCTCATGGAATGTACTTGCCCAGGAAGTTCAAGAGGACTTTGCTGCCCTCCGCTGACTGAAAGAAGTTGTAGCCCTCGCTTCGGTTTCGACCTTGGGTCTTGAAGGGGGGATCTTGGTGGGGCCCCAGGAAATGGAGCTCATTGCGCTTGCGGGAAGCTTCATCCAAATCCTTCCCAAACTCTGCGAAGATCTCCGGTGCACCGCGCTCGTGGTAGTCCTGCATGTCGTGAAGCGTGTCGCAGAACAGCACAGGCACCTTGACATCTTTTGCATACTTCTTGGCAGACATTCTTTCGAGCGTGATGCTGATGTCTGGGGCCTTGATCTTGCCCTCCCTCTCGTACTTTGCTTGGTTCTCCTGGAGGGCCTCGTTGAGGAGCTCCACATTCCCCAGGCCGAAGAAGAAGGGCCGGTCGGCGAACATGATGGGTGCATGGAAAATGTTTGTCGTCGCCCAGGCCGCAACGTTCTTGAACTTCTCTGGGCAGACGGAATTGGCTTTGAGGAAAGCTACGCCCGACACGCAGAAGGGCAATAAAGCTACCTTGCAGTCCTTCAGCGTCGGGTGGGCATTTACCCAATCCATGACGCCCGCTGCATCCATGAACTCAATCTCACCCCATCCCGCTGGCAGCCTCCGTTCGGAGTCTCCATGGTTTCTCAGGTCATACCCAATAACATGATAGCCTGGGTTCTTGCCAAGGATCCTAACTTAAGTTACCATAATCGGGATCTGTAGCAAGTGTTAGGGTCTCCTTGTTATGGTAACATAAACTCCAGTAGCATAGTAAATAATATGGTTTCCGCTTTGTGTGGTGGCTGAAAAAACGTAAACTAACAAGAGCCCAGTAGCCGGCATCGTAGAGGACCCGATGGAGCTTCACGTAGTCGATCGCCTCGACGGGGACCATGCCGTGGCGGTAGTGAAAGACGCAGCCGGACTTGTTCGCTTTGGCCCAACTCTGATGGCCTACGATCGCCAACTTCTTCGAGACGGAGCCCTCCTTACTGGGGATGTACCACGCAGCAATCTGGCATCCGTCCTGTGCCTTCAGGCGCACCTCCTCGTAGTTCATGCCGTGGTCCTTGGGCGTCCGTACCATCTTCGTGGCCAGCTCTCCGTCCCATGTCGCGTCCATTATGACGGTGGTGGCCAAGAACCTGGCTGGATTCCTATGGCCAGGTCTCCTTGAAGGATTCCTCTAAGGAGTCCTTGATTCAAGGGATCCTCCGGAGGCGAGCCCAGAGCTGAGGCTTCAAGGCTCATGAGCTTTAGGCTTCTCTCACTGCTTAGAGGTCTGGGATTTCGAGTCTGTCGGTTTCGGACCTTAGGGGGCAAAAGCCCCGAACCCAAAACCCTCAACCCCTAAACCCTGAACCCGTAAAGCCTACTCCCTAAACCCGAACACCCCTAAACCCCCAACCCATGAAGTCTACTGTCTAAGCCCCTGAACTCATAAGGACCCTTAAGGGGGTTCCTTACTATTGGTATTAAGGCCCCCTACCCCCCTCCCCCCTATCCCCAAAGGGTCCTTATGGTGAACCCGAAACCCTACGAAGAAGAGCCCAGCCAAGACGCTTGTTCATACCCAAGTAGTGGGCCACCTTTTGCGCAGCCGTCGGTTTGCTGCCGCTGGCCTCCAAGGCTTGGGGGATTTTGGGGGGACTTTGATATCAAGGCTCGTATCATATGTGTCTATCGAACGATCCATCCCATCCCATCCCTTCCATCCTTCCAAACATCCGTCCATCAATCTACCTATCTAACCATCCTGCCATCCATCCTGGATGCCCACCACTTCTTGTGGGCTGTCCACAATCTACCTACCTACCTGCTGACACTTCTTAGCAAAGACAGTCTGGATCTCGTGCCTACACGTTTGTCCCTGCAAACTCTGCTCGCGCTCCTCTGCTGCGGCTGGGCTTAGGGCTCATGGACGGTTCAGTTGGCGTCCTGTTAATGCGGAGTCCTCGCACTTCAACTCCTCACGCTACATCTGCACCCTAAGCCCACCAAAAACCGCCAAACCCTAGACCTCCGAAGAAACCCAGAAACCCTCATGGCCCGAATCCCCAAAACCCCCGCAAAAAAAAGAAAAAAGAGGCAACCCACATCCGCGGCAAGAAGAGCTCTGCCTTGGCTGGGAAGCAGGCTTTGAAGGAGCCCTCCCAGCAGCAGCCCGCGAAACCTGGGCTCATAGGGTTCCCCTTGAGGGTACCATGGGTTCTATCACAGTATATAGGGTTTAGGGTTTAGGGGTTTCGGGTTTTGGGGTTCAGGCCCTAATGGTTTAAGTTGAATTATCCACGTTATGCTTAAGATACCCCAACAAATTGGTGCAGTCAGGCTGGCTTGGTTTGAAGAAATTTGGGATCTGACTCAACAAATCTGGGCTCAAACCGCTATCAATCCTGGAACATCTCTGGATCTGTACGGCTTTGTTTGGGCCGCAACCACGGCTCTATGTTGAAATTTCCTGTGCCAAATTTTGCGAATACCGGGCCTCAAAACCCGAAATCATGCTCGTGCTTTTTCCTGGCCCTGGCTGGGAGCCCCAGCCCCAGCCCAGTCCCGGACACGACACCACAAGGGGCCACCCACCCACCATAGGCAAGCATCGCAATTGAGGCTCGCCCTGCCCTTCCCTGGCTGCCCTCCCTGTCCCTGCCGATTGGCGAGACCCCAAATATGATGACCGCTTTTCGGAAGGAATTGGACCTGGTTTTGTGGTAACACGACACGATTTTTCCCATAATCTGACCTATCTTGTTTCATGCCTGTCTACTAATGCCCCGCAGATATACCAGTTCCCAAAAATCTAATTTGAGGCCCGGTTTTATGACGACCAATCCCGACCTTAGTAGCTCCCCAGGCCCAGCGTGCCTAATTCAGGCCCCAATTTGGCCTAGAAGCTAACAGATATCTGCAGAACTACAGGGTTGCAAGATTTCAGGGCTTTAGGGGCGTTTGTAATAAGATCTATGGGTGGAACCTGCTGAGGGTCTAGGGGGCTTTAAGCCTCCAGAGTTTTGGCTTTAAGGTTTTAAGGCTTCAAGGGTTTAAGGTTTAAGGGCTACCATAATAACGATATACAAGCAGACAATATGGTTTCGTTGCTACGGCTGCTACGGTGTCTTAAGCCAAACTTTTCAATATGAACCCAGAAACAGCCGAAGATCGCCTGCATGTCAGCAACGCAACAAAGGACGGGTGGAAAATAGCTGGCTACAAGCTTCTCTACAAATGTCTGCGTTGGATCAGCACTCTCTGCGACAGGATTCTACAGCAACTGGCGTCACTTTGTATATCCAGCATGTCAGCATGCACAGCGTTGCCGGCTCTGCAGCAAGCGACAACGCCGAACTCCAGCCTTTCACCATCTGAGCGCCGGGACAACTTTGAAGCTTCGCAAGTTGAAGACGCCCAGAATATCAGCGAAAAACATAGAACACAGACCGTTTCTCCGACAATAAATTCACAATCCGCCTGCTTCAGGATGACTAACCGACTAAACATGAATCTTTCAGTTTGCGTCCAGAAGCGGTCACACGAATGAACATTCACTCATTCAAACGATCAGTCACCATCTTCAAAGGAACCATACCCGGACCACTCTTGGCATCTTCCTGAATAGCAACACTAACAATTTATTTTGTTAACTGTTGGAGGCTTCAAGGCGGCAACTCGGGCCCGGGCCCCGATAATGCTGAGCTCTGAACGCAGAAACGACTCGTTGCCAGAGTGCTTTCAATGCAGAATCGTCAGTCGTCTGTCCTAAGAAAATCTTTGCGCACTTGCTCGAACCCCACGAACCGCGATAGATAAAAACCGGGTTGAACGAGGACAAACTGATGCCTGCTCAAGTGACGCCGGTTTTTGGGAGCTTCAATGCGGTCCGCCGTGCCTGCTGACGCACCCAGGAGTCCAGGAGAGAGAAAGAAGACAGAGAGAGAGAGAAAGAGAGAGAGAGAGATG